GTCTCGGGCATTATTCGACGATATTCACCGAACCTAAGACGAATAATTAATGAATATAAATATATAATTTATTACAAGTATGTTGATAATTGGACCAAATTCATGCTGTTCGCACAGTTACGTGCAAATAATTACAAAGAGCTCGCACTTATACCTTCGCAGAAAGTTTTGTTTCCCGTCCAGTGTACCGCATTAACATCTGCTTTCTTCTTACATGTCCTCTCAATTGATCCCCTGAGTTCATACCCCTTGTTACAACTGAAGCGACAAACTCTTCCCTGCACATTTCCACATGCTTCATTCTCAAACTTTCCATTGGCAGGGGGGAAGAGAACAGCGCATCGAAGCACTGGAATTAAAAACCATTCAAGTGAATTAAACCAGGATTGTTTTTACCATTGCTCTTAAATGATATAAGACAAATGAAAATTTTCACCAGGATTGGAAAGAAAATTATTTTAAAATATAGGATCGTTACTTACCAAGCACAGTAACTCTGAAGTGACAAAATCTAGTATTCCCTGACGGATCTGTTGCGGTATAAGTCAAAGTATGACTTCCTTCAGAAAACACATGTGGAGATGTGACATTCGGAGTTACAGTGACCAAGGCGTGATCGTTATCAATGGCTATGACTGGCTCCCAGCTTACTGTAGCTGACATTTGCCCTTCGTCAGCCAAAACACTGAGATCAGATGGACAGGTTTCATTGAAGGAAGGGGCTTGGATATCTAAAATAAAAAAAGAAAGAGTTTTGGTCAGTCTACAATGGAGATTAAAGTGTATCTAGAAGTTAAACACTATCCCGAGTTAAGAGCTTGACGATAAATCAGAGGTTCTCGGTGCTGCAATAAAAATCTAAGAATGCTAATCTGTCTGTACGTGATTAACCACAGAACACAGGGCTACGGTATTCCACCTTGGCCGCATGATTTGAAGACGCTTAATAACTCAAAGGAAACAGCCATAATATAGAATTAACTCGTACCCTGAACCCTGCTCGTTTAAAAATAACATTATGACATGCCACTTCCCTAGAAGAGTGTAAATGTTGAAATAGGCTGACGCGGTCTCAAAATCAAAGAGCTAATCTCACCAAAAACGTGTGTAGGTTTCTCCCAACGATATCGTTAAAAGGTTAGAGAGAGCTGGTTAATAAGCAGGTCCATTACATGCTATTGGTTCGACAAAAAACATGTATAAATAGCCAGTAAGAATCGAGGACCTGGTTGTATTTAGCCCTCTGTTTTTTGTTTTGTTTTGTTTCATTTTTTTCTGTTTTGTATTGTTTTTCTTTTTTTCTTTTTGCCCTTAAAAAAAAGAGAATTCGGTCATTTATCATGGATACAATCCAACTTAAGGGATGCGAAACACAAAATAACAACTGATAAAGTGTATGAAGGGGGTAGATTTCGCGAGAAACTGCTGCTGCATCAATGGAGGTAAAACAATTTAATTTGGTTTCATCAATGATGTAAATTGGCCACCGTTGAAAGAGAGAAACGTCTTAAACTGTAACAAATGTTGCTAGCAACAATGTGCTTTCTAAGCCCCTTGACAGTGTACGATGGATCCAGTCCACCGTCCGTCATCACACGTGACCTCATTCGGTCCTATGACCTGGTAGTCTGGGTTGCATTCATAAGAGCACTTCTTGCCATGTAAAGGCTTTGCTTTGCACTCCTGAGGCACGACATCTCCCTTGTCTGGCTTATTCAAAGGTGAGCATTCTTTTACTGGAGGAAAGAAAATCATTTCATAGCCAACAAATGAGGTTTAAATTTTTTATTACATCTAGGATATCAACAATAATAGTAAAAAAAAGATAATAATGATAGCGATACATCTGTTGAGATGTTCATTTATTCAATTCCCTGGGGAGCATTTTTTTCCTTTTGATCTCTCCATTTCACAGTTTATCTACATGGTTAGCATCAGATTGGTTCAAGTGAAAATAGTCCTAAACTTTTCTTTACTAAGAATCTGGTGATCCCATCGACGAAGGCACCATTTAGAAGTAATCACATTAATTGCAGCATTGTACGTTAGCCGGTGAGAAGTTAGAAGAAATAGGTGCATTATTAAATGATTTGGCATCTATTTCCCTTAACGTTTCCATTTCAATATTTTTTTACCTTTTTTTCGTTCTTTCATTATTTTCCTTGTGTTGTTTCTGCTTTGCTTTATTTTACCTTTTATTCATTCTTCTTCTGTTTTTTGTCTTTGTATTTTATATATCTTCTTTACTTTGTTTTTATTTTTGCCCTTTGTCTTCTTTTTCCTTTTCCTTAAAGCCATTAGCGATCCATTGTTCATGCAACGTCAAATCCCAGATTTTCCATTTTTCATGAGTAATTCGAATAGATTTTCAACATCCTATTCCTTCTTTAATATTTTGTTTAAATTGTTTTTGCCCATTTGGTGTTTAAATGGCCTAGTAAATGCCATTATTTTAAGTCTTCCATCTATTGTAGCTAACATTGCCTTTCTGCTAACAAAAATCCTCTGCGACATGGAAAGTCCATATCCCTACCTTGGCAGTGAAAATGAGATGAAGAATCCCAATTTCCACGAATACAATTTTTTGTGCTCATTCCAACACCCCTGTAACCTGCTCTACATCTGTATAAACAACTTGTACCGTGGGTAGGTGAGTATAAGCACGAAGGAGGCCAGATCTCACCGTTTGCTGGGGCCGTCAAACGATTACAACTGTTCCCTAAATGGATAAACACCAAGAAGGAAAAGTTTTATTTACCATGCTCAAGCACATTCTCTAGATATTGAAATTTCAATTAAGAAGTTTCTGAAGACATAGAGCGCATCTCGATTGTCTGTAGTAAAAATTAAACCAAAATACTCACAAGAGTTACAGGGGACAAAGGAGGAGAGTGAAATTATAGGGGAGTAATAGATCTAAATGTAGACAGAGTTTTTTAACTAATGTTTTAAACAATTTTTTAAATATAGAATAGTGAGCAGTACTTCTGCGAACAATAGTTGTAAAACCTCTTTTATTTTCCGACGCGTTTCGTCTAGCTGTCTTGGTCTTGTTCAAGGAGTTTTGCAAGTATAACTAAACGCTTGTACTTGTAAGCCAAAGTTACAGGGGCCGATGAGCGTAAAGGCTTGGCCGGACTTACGAACAGGAACAGGCGAAGTTGTGAAACATTTAACACGTGTAAGGCAATGTGAGAAAAATATTTTGGGGACCACGGCTTTAGCCAAAACCGTGGCCCCCAGAAAACGTACTTACATAGATTAGCTATTGTCACAGTTTTCCAGTAACACACAGTACAATCTAAGTCTGGCAGAATATTACTGATAACCTTCTTAACACGGGCGTGACTGCAGTTGAACGTAGTCTTAAAGACAAGAGTCCTGCTTCGCCGAGATTGTGGCCGGGAGATCCAATTCTCTCTGTCGTGGTAACGCACACCGTGAAAGAGCGGCAGTAAAAACTTAAATGGATAGCCTCTAAGTCGCAGTAGCTTCCAAAACCTATCCCTAGTCTCACAGAAAGACTTCAAGGAAGAACTGTTTCTAGCATATCTCATAAGCTCCCCTTATATAAAAGCTTTCTTGCTGCTAGAGGGGTGAAACGACTCGAACGGTAAGTAGAGATATTTGTTTAGAGGCTTCTGATACGTAGAAAATTGCAGCACGCTTGAGGAATTATCCTTATACAGACAAAGATCTAGAAATAAAACGCTACTGTCGCTACTACAATGAGTAAGCTTGATTCGATCATTTTTGGTATTAAGAGCACCAAGAAATTTCAGGACGGTATCCCTGCGTCCACACCAAATAGCAAAAATGTCATCAATGAAGCGCTTATAGAGCACGAGAGATTGAGAGTACTGCTTCACAATATCTTTTTCGTGGAAATACATAAAAGCGTTTGCGACTGTGACGGCGAAAGGAGTGCCCATAGCAATACCAAACATTTGGTGAAAAATATCCGGACTGAGTTCAGATAACATACAGTTATTATCGAATACAATTCTGGCGACCTCAATCAGTAGTGGAGTTTCGGGAGCCCTTGCTTCGCGACGGAGCAAGTCGAGAGCCACTAAGGCTTTTTTGGTGTCTACGTTGGGATATAACATTGCTAAAACCGTGGCACCCAAAATATTTTTCTCACCTTGTCTTACACGTGTTAAATTTTTCACAAATTTTTAACAACTTCGCCTGTTCCTGTTCGTAAGTCCGGCCAAGCCTTTACGGTCATCGGCCTCTGTAACTTTGGCTTATAGATACAGGCGTTTAGTTATACTTGTTAAACTCCCTCTACGACAGTTAGACGAAACGCGTCGGAAAATAAAAGAAGTTTTACAACTACTGTTCGCGGAAGTACTACTCACTCGTCTATATTTAAAAAATTAAAAAAAATACTCACAAGAGTTACAGGGGACATGGGAGGAGATTGAAATTATAGGGGAGCAATAGATTTAGATGTAGAAAAAAATTTTTAATCAATTTTTTAAACAATTTTTTAAATATATCATATTATATATATCTATATAGATATAGATGTAGACAAAATATCTGATGCAAGTGACGAATTCGTTGCCAGTTTCGATTTTGCTTTCGGCGGTTAAATAATAACAAGAGAGAATATATCAATGCATTGTAAACTTCCCTTAATAAGAATACAATTTACTCTTGACTTTATGAACAGCTGCAGTATTTCACCCCATTTTATACAAAGTAAAGCTAAACTGACTATAAAGAGATCTTTGAATATTCGACGAAGTTAGACCCACACTTCAATCGAGTCAGACGACTTTATTCCCTCACCAAAATAATAAATTGCAATAAATAAATTTGACTTGAGTTTGGTTTTATGTTAATATGTTATTTAGCAAATATATCCCATGTTGCTGTGCGAATGTTCCTTAATAGATCACGCAGATGACGTCAAATTTGTAATAGATCTAGATGTAGACAAAATATCTGATGCAAGTGACCAATTTGTTGCAAGTTTCGATTTTGCTTTCGGCGGTTAAATAAGAGGATAACAAAAGTCGATTTTCTAAACCAATGCAATCCAAGATTGCATTCGATGCTCAACTCAAAATTGTCATTTCTATCGTTCCTGATTCTATGGTATATTAATTGCCATGTATAGAACACAATTATAAAGGGATTTGAAATGTTGAACCCTTTTCGAAACTTGTGTATTTTTTTGATAGCTTATTCGTGATGAGGAAAATATTAAAATTTCTCAAATTTGATTTATGAAGCGGTGAAAGCGGTTTTAGCTCTTAAGCGCAATTAAAGTTTACGGAACGGATCTTAAATATAAAAATCTTATAGGTCTTATGTAATTTTCTTTATTTCTCAATTTCATTTTCAATTGCAGTTATGTAATATATCAGACAGTCTAACAATTATCTTCGGTTTCGTTCTTTTATTAGTATTTGTAAATTTAGCTTGCGGAAAGGTTAGAAAAACTTGCTAATGACACTACCAAAGGTGTGTTTTTTTCAGTGGAACAAAAAGAAAACGTGCCAGTGGAATAAGGGGATAAACATACGCAAATGATCCAGCCATTCCTCTATTAGACTCCTACATGTATGGTGGGTCTCAAAATGTCACCAAAATACACAACTTATTCTCGGATATTCTACGTACGAACACATTTCCTTGAATCATACGGTGAAATCACATAGCCAGTAGAACATCTGCAGACAGTTACACCACCACTTGAAATGCAAATGTGTTGGCACCCTGCTGAACTACATGGATTATAATAGCAAGAATTGGTTTGCCGGCTGCTTCCCGCGCATTTTCTGCCACCATGAGCTGGAGATGGGTTGTTACAATATCGATACCTGGTCTTTGATCCACTTCTACACGAACTCCAAGACCCCCACGATCCCCATTTACCATGCCGTGGACCTTTAAAAACAATAAAGAACAATGGGAAAAAATACAGAAAAAAGAGGAAGCGATTGATAGATCG